AGGTGAAGGTAACACCGAAAATAAATCCCCCTGCCAGTAGGGCTAAAATGGCAGAGACAACTGTAAACACAATATAAACAGCACTAGCAGAAATATTGTTACCACCCCAGGGGCCTCGGAACCGCAGGGGTCGGCAGTAGTGGGTGGATCCGGGGTCAAAGCCGGATCCAACGTAGCGGGCCCACTACGGTCGTCATCTTGCGACCGTGAGGGTGCGGGGGTGGCCAGCCAGGCCCCCGATACTCTATCTATTACTAGAGCTGACCTGAATGTTGCGGGCGGAAATGAAGAGCGAGCGGCGCCAGGCGACGCCTACACAGCGCTGGATGCACTGGGAAAGAAGCTGAGAACCCAGGATGGTGGCCTTAGGCTACTGATCGCGAAATCTGCGGCACTCGGCTCGCTCGTGGACAAGCTCGGCTCAGAGCCAGCCAAGATGGCGATCCAGGAGCTTCTTTCTGTGGTGCATGGTCTCCGTGAAGGCAGAGATCATGTGAATAGGGCGTTCAACGCGACGGTCGATTTTGTTAAGAAGGAGAAGACTGCGAAGAAGACTACCATGGATCCTAACGTGCAACCGGAGTCCTCTGTGGCGCGGAAGGTTGCAACGGCAGAGGCTGAAACCCAGTCTCCGTGCTGGTGGGACCTAGGAGGCGTTGAGAAGTCGATCCCGGAACAAGCTCTTAAGGCGGGGAATGTCGGTGTGTCTATGGGCTCTCCAACCACTTCCTGGACAGAGGTGGTCAGGAAGGGGAAGAACAAGATAACTCGTGCGAAAGAGGAGAAAACGAACAAGACGGACAAACCCGCAGCCAACCGATCGCGGGCCAGAGCGCGACCGGCAGCTATTTTGGTGAACGTTGGTACTGATCAATTTCCGGAGCTCGCTAAGAGGATAAGAGGGAGCGTGAATCAGGCGATAACGGGCGACAGTGTTGTGGGCTTACGTCAGGCCAAGACTGGAGGCCTACTCATAAAAGTTCGTGGTGACCAGGAACACATTGAAGCGGTTCGCGCTGAGGTCGCTAGGTCAGCGGGACCTGACGTCCAGGTGAAAACCCTCCAGCAGAGGGCCCTTGTGGAAATTCAGGACTTGGACCAGTGGACTAGTTCCGATGAAGTTAACCATGCGCTGGCGAATGCTGTAAGCACAGGGCGGGACACCATCAAAGTGGTCAGCCTCAGGAAAAGGTTTGGTGGCACACAAATGGCCCTGGTGTCTTTTTCAATAGAAGTTTCGCGGAAACTGCTCAATGCAAGACGGTTGCGAATTGGCATGGTTAGTTGCATTGTTAATAAAGATCCTCTTCCTTTAGAATTATTAGAAACATTTTCTTTGCGCTTTTTGCTACTTTCAATTGCAACAGCCAATAATCATTTAAAATTGAGTCTCGCTTGGCTGTAAACTTTAAGAGTTCTAAAAAGTTTCCTCTATTATAGTTAATATTCTCACAGTTAATATTATATAAAGATTCAGATGAACCTGAACCTCTATAAGGGAGATTTTGTTTCCCCAAAAGCTTAACAATTTCAAAAACTTGCTCTAAAACATGAATACGTTCAAGTGCTTGTTTTTTTTTTTAAGTTCATCATATTTTTATTTACAGAATATTCAATGTTGTAATTATTGGATGCTAGAATATATGCTTCCACAGCTAAACTATGGACTTGACTATTTTCATGTGCTTCAATGGTAGCATATATATTCTTGAAATTTGTACAACCAGAACAAAAGTTACTAGCTAAGGAACTAAATACCATACAAATTGTGCAATAAACAGCTTTTACATAATTTTTGCCTTCACATTGTACAGTTAACCATTTCCTTGGTATTAAATTACCTTTGAGTTCTGTTCGATTATATATTCTATGAAGATACCATGCTACATTATCTATCGACTTCGGTTGACAGGGGTGAATTGTATTAACAAACTCCAATTTTTGAGCCAAGGTTAAATTTTTAGGATTTTTTGGAAATTTTAAATCAAATGTTATGGTATAACCATTGTTTTCCTAAAAAAAAAAAATTACTATGTAAATTTAATGGGTACCTATCAAATGAAAAAATTAAAATGAGCAATAAGTAAAAGTTCTTATAATAGGATTGTCCGTTGTCAATAATTATATCACAGATTAAATAAAACTAACTTCATGTTTCATCTGTGCTAATATACTAATATACTATCTTCTACTGAATGCAATTAAATATTTAATTAAAACAATGTATGATAAATTGATAAGTATTAAATGTATTTATAATTTCTTACAACAGTAATATCAGATACACTTGTTTCCTTTGTAGTTGTATTGACTGAAATTAACTTGTTCATAGTACTTGCTTGTTCGTCATTAATACTATTTGTATTGGTATTTGAAAATATATTAATTTTACCATCTTCTGTCTGATAATTAGAAAAATTAAAAATGTACTATAGACAATCTTACAACTAAATATTAGGTTTACACTGGTAGTCACGAGTAGGCATAATAGCAGGTTGAAATATACTTAATTTTAAATCAATATGTTATTATATTTTATTTTGCAATAATAGTAGATAATAATAATTAGCAGCATTTAATTGCTTAAAATAAAGTTAATTATGAAAAATATTGACTGTCAAAATATGAACTATACATAGTGACAAATAAATAACACAATTTCTACTTATAGCTAAAGTAAATAGCACTACTTATTTGTAATTAAAAAATGTACTGTATTCTAAACCTGTTAAAATTGTTAAGAAACTAATAAAGCATAGCAGTAGTCTACCAATAACCACTAACCAGTACCAGATAATGTAAGTATTACAATATTAACTTACCTGGGCACCTGGCTTACTAAGTTTTAAAGGTTTAAAGATTTTTGGAAATCATTTAGAACAAAAAAAACAACACTAAAATTATTAATTGTAAGAAAAATATGCAACCACACAACTTAAACATAAATAACAAATTAAGTACGGATTTATTAAATATTTAAGTCCTTATAATTTAAACAAATTAAGTACGGATTTATTAAATATTTAAGTCCTTATAATTTAAGTACAATAATTTGAACTTACCGACAAATTCGTAGAAAAATGAAATAATTTCATTTGTTTGGGATTATCTGCAGCTTGTTTTAATAAAGCTGCACGTTTTAAACGTGCTTTTTCTGCACCACCCTTAAAATTTTTTTTTCCATTGTAAATACGATTTAAAATATTAAATAAATGAAATACAATTAAAAACTAAGGAACGAACAGACCGAACAGTATACAAATAATAATTTAGTTAGTAATTTTATTGTTCCGGCAGTTGCAGTACCTTCCCTAATTCCAATAAACACCGACACCGGCCATCGCGGTACGCACACGCTACATGTTTTGCAAGAAACAACTTGCAATATTTTGTATTTATTTATAGATACGTAAATACGTTGCTATCCATGGCATATTGGAATATAATAATTATGATATAATATCCGATAGGACGATAACGTTCGCAGAAACAGAATATTTTCATTTGTTTTGAATTTTAATATCTTTATTATTAATTTAATATTTTGTACTATGCGACTATATTGTGTAGTATTTAACGGGAAACGACCGTCGGCGCTTAAAACGTCCATTATTATAATAATTTATATTATATTATTATAAAATATAAAAAAAAAAGTACAAATATCAAATTATAGATATCTTTGCTAGTGACCCAAAACGTATAAGTAAGCTGGTACCGGCCCACTGTGCTATAGAATAGTGGCACACCGGGCCAGTCCGCTACTGACAACACTCCACATCTATTAAAATAAATTTCTATAGCAATATAAACATTAAACATGATTTTATCATCATCTTATTGTAAATAAAATTTTCACATAAATTTTGTGTAAAATCATGTTTTTCATGTTATATCGATGTTGTAGCAAACAAGCGATATATAAAACAACAAAGAAAATATAACATATGTAAAACAGCATTTTAATGAGAAATTTGTGACTGATATTTCTTACATAGTGTATCAATTTGTGGTGAAATCTTCGATAAGGCGACTCTTAACTCCTCTTCGACATTAATTAATCTTTCCCTTTTTTTGTTTTTAATTTCAAAGCAGAAAAAGCTACCTCGCACAAATATGATGTCGAAAATGGTAATAATACGGAATGAGCCAATTTTGTTAAGTTCGGATATTCTTTTTTTGTGTAAATCCAAAATTGGCTTAGCTCGAGCTCATTAAATTTCATTTGATGAGTGCGATCGTTTTTTAATTCTGCAAGTTCTTCTTCCTCTTGAATGAATAATCAATGTATAGTAGTGGTCAGATTCCATTAATTCACATAACTGAGAAAATAATCGAATTTTTTGAGGTCTACTTTTAGTAAAATTCACCATTTTTACGACTTGATCAAGTATCAAGTAATTCATTAACAATACTTTTTGCTACTAATGCCTCCCTGTGTAAAAAACAATGCGTTGTGTTTATAATTGGATTTTGATTTTTGGCAATTGTAATAAAACCTTTAATAGAGCCTGTCATTGATTGGGGCGCCATCTGTACAAATACTTACACAAAAAGTCCACCATATACCATAATTTTTAAAATATTTATTTATAACATCAAAAACAACTCGACCAGTTGTTGTCCCAGATAATTCTTTACAACAAAAAAATTGACCAACTATTTTTGAATTTACAATAAATCTAATAAATGCCATTAATTGAGCTTTCCCACTTATGTCTGTTGATTCATCAACTTGCAAGGCAAATAATTCTCCACTTTTTATAACTTCAATAACCTGTTCCTCAATATCCTCTGATATATTTATAATCCTACGACTAATTTTACTATCAGATAATGGTATTTTAATTATTTCTTTTTCTGCTTCGACTCCTAACATAGTCTTTACCATAATACGACAAGCTGGCATAATAAGACTCTCGGAAATTAAATGAGATTTTTTTTTTGAGCTATCAATTGAGCGATACGAAAATTAGCTTCCTGTGCCTTATCCGAAATTTTCACTGACTGATTACATAAGGTGCTACCTTATCTGATCCCGGAAGTTGACATTGTTCTGGAAATCCAAATGTCCCATTTAAAATTTTCTGTCCCATATTTGAATTTAAGAAAATACCACTATCGCCTTCTTTTCCGAAGGAACCAATGTCAACAACAATAAATTTATAATTCGCGTCCACCATTGCCATAAGTACAATCGAATAAAAATCTTTATAATTATGAAATAAAGACCCAAAATTACTAGGACTTCGTATGAGGACATGCTTCCCATCAATTGTCAAAATGCAATTTGAGAAATTCCACTTGTACGAAAATTCTGCTGATTTTTGTGTAAAATCTATATTTTTTGAATCGGGCAAAAAAATGGGTACCAATTTAATTCTCAATTCAGCTAGTGTGCTTTTTATTATTGTGCTTAAATAGTTGTGACTGATACGAAAAGCAAATGATAATGATCTCAGTGACTCACCAGTGGCAAGATATCTATTGAAAAAAATTCAAAATTATTACTTCGATAGTTCGATATATCGATACAAAAAATAAAAAAAAAATTATAAATACCTTAATGTCACTGCTAATTTTTCTGCCGGCAATATTGGATTTTTAACTCGATTGGTAGGTTCTACATATAGTTTTTCTTCCACCAGAGATAATAAAAAATTGAATTATTCATAATTAATTCGGAAATATTCAAGAAACTTAACTTGATTGCTCATCAAATGTCGATTGATTAAAATTTCAAAACATCCTTCAGTTTTACGGTTTTTAAAGATATCATCAGTTGTTTTTCTTTTTTTCGACATCAAATAAGAAAATGAACTAATCTCATCGTCGTCCTCATCCATCAATAGCAGAGTTAAAATATTATTATTATTAACAATTAATTTATCCATAGTTTGTAATTTATGAATTTAAATTATACTTGCGCACTTGAACAGATTTGAAACTGAACTGAAAATATGACTGTTGACTAACCAAAAACAATAATTTTACTTTCGCGACATGTCGCAGTCGCGTTTAGTAAACCACATTCGACGCGGCGACCGATTACGAACATTAGTCGCCTCGACGTGTCGCGCCTTGGAGACCGTACCTTTAGGGGGACTGATAGCCGGTTTGATGGTGGGAAATGTATCCAAGTTCGAACAATGACGTTTCTATATTATTTTGTTAATAAATCCCGCTTTTTTTATACTTTGGTTGATAATCTGTCATCGCGTCAATTGACGGCAAACGCTGAAATTCGATTAGGAAACAATGAAAGAATAGGTAACTTTTGTAACGAACTAGTTCAACCTATAGAAATTTCTTCTACTTCAATTTCAAGTCATAGAACCGACAACATACATTCTGTTGAAACATTGGTTTTAACACCTGAAAAATATTAAAAATAATTAGAGGCTAGGAAAAAATCAAAACAAATACCTCGCTGGGAAAAAGGGGCAGATTTTGACATTGAAAGACCCGCTTCATTTCCCGAACCAGATTACTCCAGGTATAAAAGTATGTCCGCTACCGACATTTTTGAAAACTTCATTGATACCGAAATTATTGAACATTTAGTTGTAGAAACTAGACAGTATGCATTATTTTTAAATTGTCCGGATCCAAACATAACAGCATAAGAAATTCGTTGTTTTATTGCGATATTATTTGTTAGTGGATATAATAATTTGCCTTCGAAACGTCATTATTGGGATTCAAAAAATGATATGAAAAATGTTGCTGTATCTAAATCAATGAGACGAAATAGGTTTTTGCAGATTTATCGATTTTTGCATCTTGCTAATAATATTGATATCAATCAAAATGATAAAGCATGGAAAATACGCCCAGTGATGGAAATGCAAAAAAAAAAATGTATTCAAAATTTTATTTCCGAACAGCATCTTTCCTACGATGAAAGTATGGTCAAATATTTTGGGCGACATAGTTGCAAGCAGTTCATTCGTGGGAAACCGATTAGATTTGGATATAAAGTATGCTGTCTGAACACAAAAGATGGGTACTTAGTAAATTTTGAACTTTATCAAGTCGAAAGCCCTAAAGTTAACACTGTCTACGAACAATTATTCGGTAAAGCTGCAAGTCCGTTATTAGTTCTTATAGATGAAATTCCCGCAGAAAAGAGGCAATTGAATTACTCTCTATACATGGACAATTTATTTTCTGGTAAAAATCTTCATTTGTTTTTAAAATATTGTCGATATTCAGCAATAGGTACGTTTCGTGAAAATATAATTCAAAAAGACTGTCCTTTACAAAGTAAAAAATTATTTGCAAAAAAATAATGCGGGTCTTTGAAACAGCCATGGATAAAAATGATGATTTATTGTATGTTCGATGGATGGACAACGCTGTCGTAACAATGATATCCACGTCATGTGGTACTAAAGAGATAAGTCACGTCTAACGATATTCTCAACAAAAAAAAAAACAAATATTTTGGTTCAAAGACCAAATTTAATTGCAAAGTACAATACATACATGAGAGGTACCGATTAAATGAATCAAAATATTGGATGTTACCGCATTGGAGTTCGTGAAAAAAATGGTATTGGCCTCTAGTAACATTGATGTTTGATGTAGCAATGCAAAACAGTTGGATTTTATACAATAAAAACAGGGAGACCAAAAATATCTCAACTTGAATTTAGAAGAGAAGTAGTAAATGTTTATTTAGAAAGATACAAAAATACTCCCGCATGACTAGGACGCATATCTAAATCATTTTGTTCGTCGGACTCTCGTATATCAGATACATTACGGTTTGATAAAACTAATCACTGTGTATAAAATATGGAAGAAAAAAAAAGAAGATGCGCTGGTAAGAATTGCAAATTAATTGTACGAACAATGTGTTCAAAATGTTCAGTTGGATTATGTATCAATTCTTTTAAGCCTTTTCATTCTCAATGATTTGCATTTTTAATTTTTTTTTTTTTTGTACAAGCTGTACCTATAAGGAAATATTTTCTTTTTTGTTTTTACTCAATATATATTTGCTAATTAATAAAAAATTATTGTAAAATAAATAGATAATGTTTATATTTTATTGTGTTTGCTGTTTATTTATAATAGTTACAAAATAGGTAGGATAAGTGCCCAATGTTGCCATATGGACACAGCAAGTATCTTAAAAACTGAGTTTCAAAAAAATAATATATATATATATATATATTTATGTTTATTTGAGTGCATTTATAGAACATAGCAACAACAATTTATAAAAAATTGAAAAAAAATAATAATTTGGGCTAATAATTATTTATAATATTTTTATTTTTTTCTTGTACCTACATATACATTTTTAGCAAATAAAATTTAAGATAAAATATTATATTTATATTAAAACGTTATTTATTAAACTTCAGTTAAATGAAAAAAGAATTACATAATTTATAGAAAAAAGTTATTATATAAGGAAATTTTACTGTATAGAGGTTGTTTTTTTTTTTTTTTTTTGATAAGGGTAATCATTTTTTATTTGGCACAGGGGTGGCAAATTGTTAAATCTGCCACTAACCGTTATATCATGTTTTACCATAATAAATTCTGCAGTGTAGATCATACGATATAACACCGCACATATCACACTTTGGACGTCAACGGACAAAATCCTATTGGCAAATAAATGTGTTACGTACCGTGTTATATTATATTATTTCAACACATATTATACGGAGAGGTGACGCGTATACCGATTAAGATAATGTATTCAAACAGTGTAGTACCGGACGGTTAGGGTGAACATCTGAACATCGTATTATTTAATAAAACAATTAAGACTTGATCACACATCCTGGACTTCTTAGAAT